ATGGTTCCCCCGCGGGCTCGGGGCAGCCGAGCCCTGCGCTGCTGCGTGCGGTCCTGCCTCCCAGCGCTTCCTCTCCGGGGCTGGCGCTTCGCGGCGGGGGAATCCCTGAAAACCCTCTCTGAGGAGAGCACGAGAAGGAGGCAGTGCAGGAGGAAGCCCTTCCGCAGCCGCGCGGGTTTAGTTCAGCGTCTAGCAGTCCCAGACGCACGCTGCTCCCGTGTCTCCTGGCGGGATTTGCTCCCGCTCGGCTGAGGTGTCTCCTCCATCCTGGCTGCTGCTGCAGGACCAGCTCCCAGAGACGCGGGCACCCTGTGGTGCTCCGGGGCACTCTGCCTCGCTGGATGAGCCTTTCCCCTGCCCTTTAGCCGATGAGGGCGGCGCATAAGGTTGTTCCCATTCGGAGAAAAGACCCCGTTCGTGGCCTGCGCTGCCGGAGCTCGGCGTTCGGCCCCCCTGCCCGAGCCTCGTGCCGCGGCAGGACGCGGGGAGAGCAAAGCCGATGGAAATGGCAGCTCCCGAGAGCGGCTCGGGCTGTGGTCAGGGCCGGCTTCTGGCTGGGGGCGCAAGGAATCGCTTTGCTCCGAGCAGAGCGGGAGCAGAGCTCCTCATCATCCCGCAGGGAAGCGAGTTCACGGACCTGGGCTGTAGAGGGGTGACTGGCCAGCGATGTCCACCTCGGGGAGGGCAGCGCGATGTTTCCCAGTGTCCCTGCTGCGGCTCCACGCGCCTGGGCAGAGCTTTGGCAGTGCCCGAGGAGAGCCCGTGGACTCGCTGCCACGGCAAGCACTGCGTGAACCGCCCGAGCTAAGCACAGGGGCGAAGCAAGAAATGTACGGAGTTAAGCGTGAGAAACTTTCACGCCTTTGCCTAGAATTAATGCATTCCCTAAGAGTTAGGACCTGTGTGCGTGCCTCTTGCACGGAGGCCCAAAAAAAAGGGGAAAAACACACTCCTGCATTGGCCGGGAATCGAAACCGGGCCTCCCGCGTGGCAGGAAAGAATTCTACCACTGAACCACCAATGCTGCAGCTGTGGGGCTTTGGTGCACAGCTGCCTCGGCGGCCGCACCGGAGCAGCTCCCATGGAAGCACCGGTGGCTCCTGGGACAGACCCTGCCCGTCCCCCCGGCACTTCGGCCTTGACAGCAGCCATGGGAGCAAGCTAGTGGCAGCTGCCCCTGCCCGGGCTGCAGCAGCCTCGTCCTCGGCTCTGCACGCGATCGAGGACTTGCTGATGCAGCCGATGATGCGGCCAGATTGTCCCGGACGAAGGACACTTGCTGGCCTGGCCCTGTGCCGGAGCAACCTGTTCCACCATGCAGGGGACGGCAGGGTGGCGGGGAAGCGGAGGCTGTGGCGTGGCCATCGTGGTGTCCCTGCCAGCCCTCAGGGTGCAGAAGGGTGAGCAGATCGAGAAGGGAAGGTGGGGTCAAACCTGGGTAGGTCGGGACCCTCCAGAGATGAAGGATTCCAACATGGGAGATGCTGTGGGTTTGTCCTGAGCCTAAATTCTTCAGCCAAGGCATCCACCCTGCACCATCCATCCTGCACCCTGTGAGGTGGGTCCTGCAGTGCCTGTATTGAACTAAGCTGGGACTCCAGGTTTTTTGGGGCTGCAGGTTCCCAAACTGCAAATGTGGCTGCAGCTGCGGGTACAGCCCCTTCCCCGCGCTCCTTCCAAACGTTTGGGAGCAGCTTGTGCATGGGTAGCTGCCGTTAAACAGAAGGGTAGGTGAGGACAGCTCTTCCATGACACAGGAAAGTTTAATTTGTGGGTTGCTTGAACATTACCTGTTCTAGCATCGTTTTGTATTTTGACATTTGGCAGAGCCAAAACTCAAACTCCCTATTGCAGAGACTAGGGAATTTTCTTGGATGAGGAAAGCAGGGATCTGCCCCAAGGAAGGCGACCTGCCTGGCCGAACTGGACTTCGGGCCCAGGCATTTGCATCTGCTGGAGTCTGAAGTTGCCTTTTGCTTTCCTCTTTCTTCCACAGGCTGGTGCGAGAGTTTGTGGCTCAGAACAACACGTCGCAGATCAAACACGTGATCCAGATCCTGTCGCAGGAGTTTGCGCTTTCCCAGCACCCTCACAGCCGGAAAGGGGGGCTCATCGGCCTGGCGGCCTGCTCCATCGCGCTGGGCAAGGTAGGAGCGGGCGTCCTTGCACGCGCGTTGCAGCAGAAGAGCGGCTGTTCCTGCAGGGCCAGCGGACACGCGCTGGCTGCTCCAGGGCTCCGTGGACTGCCCTCCTTCCACGTGTGAGAGCTGCATCTTGTGCTGCATCGTGTGAGGGGGTGTTGGCAAGCTCCCCGCGTGGCCTTGTCCTCTCAGCGCAGAGCTTGGCCTAGCCTGGCTCACAGAAATGCTGCGCAGAAATGGTCCAAGCGCATCCGTTTACCTCTGCCCAGCGCTGTGTTTCGAGGGGTCCTTGGTGGTGCTGCTGCTGAGCTCTCTTCCTGTTTAACCCCAGGCCTGTTTGATCTCTGTTCCCATTTTATACCTCTTTGGAAGTGCAAAGGGCAAATAGTTTTGTCAGCTGAGGAGTGCTGACATAGTCTCCCCTCTGCATGCGGCCCTGCTTTTGGCAGGGGCTGGACACGAGGTGGTCATGAGTGTGAGACTGCTTTGCCTTTCTGACAACTTTCTTTAGGACTTAGCAGGAAAGACTTGCTGATCCCTTGGGCTCGCTGGACACCTGGGTCGCTCGGTCCGATTGCGGAGGCGTTTTACACATGTCCCTCGTACCCCGCACACACAGAGGGAAAATGCCTGATTCCCATCCCGATTCAGGGCCATAGAACGAGCTCCGTGAGTTGCCTCGAGGGCTAGGCCAGACATCCAGCTTCCTGTTGAGGGCAGTGTGGGGTGAACGGCTCTGTCAGGCCTTTGAATTAAACCCCGGGGTTGATCTTCAAAAGCACGTGCAAAGATCAGAGTGATTTTGGTAGGAAACAGGATATATATCAGGAAAAACAGAGCTTGGGAAGAGCAGACCGCCCTTGTTGGAAGAGCCAGGGTAGATTTTAATCCACTTCATTCCATTCCAGTGAGCGTCACGGTGAGCTGGAATGGGTGTTTTCAGGCCTTGCTTTAGGTGCCTTTCCTGCATGAGCAGTGCCCGGTTCTGCCTTCGCCCCCAGAGGTGCAGACTGCAGTGACCCCCCTCCACCTCCTGCACAGCCTGGCCCGGGCAGGCCCTGCGCCTCCACGGGAGGGAGGAGTTAGCTCTTGGTGGCCTTGAGGAACACAGATAAAACTGGAAGTTTTATCAGTCTTTTTTTTAGTCTTTAGTCTGGTAGTGTGGCCGTTGTTGATGTTCATACTGATTTTTTTGCCGGGTGCTTAGTAAATGGTGCCTGTTTCCCCAAAGCAGGTTTTATTAACTGCAAAACAAACCAAGTGCCGCTGCCTCCACCCATGTCTATGTGAAACTCCTGTTCTGCTGGCAAATCCCTAAACAAAAGTCTTTTGGGGAGGAGGGAGGGCTCTTTGGTGAACACGTTTGCTTGTGGGCAGGGTCAGGGTCTGCCTCGTGTGGCTCTTTCACCAGGCAAGAACAAGCTTCATCTCACAGGCCGTGCTTGGCTTAACTGCCTGGGCTGTCGTGGCTGCTTGTCCTTAGGGAGCTGCACGCACGGAACCCGCCTGTTCTCCCGTGGTTTGAGCTGCTGTTTCTGGAGCCAGAGAGGCCGGAAGGCCCTTTGGGTGCTGCTGCTGTTCTCCCAAACGTGTGTGACCTTCGTGCTGCCATGCTTGGACGTGCACAGTGCTCTGCGTGCTGCTTTGCCTAACTTAAACCAGCTGCCCCATCACGTAAATCCTGTCTGATGAGCAGCTGCTGGCAGCTCTTGGCTTTGCCAGCGGTCTGCAGAGGGGAGGAGGAGGCAGGACCAGGTATCTCTGTGGGCTTCCCTCCAGTGCGGGTGAACGACTGTCTTTGCAAAAAGCCCCTCTCGCTTTCGAAGGTGCTTGGAGCAGGTAGCTGAAGTACTTGATACAACTGCACAGACTTGCACATCCCTGGGAACCAGAATCACCCATGTGCTGTGGGAGTAATTACTTGAAACAGTTCTCAGCTTGCCCGCCTAACTGCCACCATACCCGAGTAATGAAATCAGAGCACGTGTTACCAGTGAATTAGGCAGGAAGGGTTAATAACCTGGGATGCAATTCAGCAGCAGGCTTGAACTGAAACGGAGGCTACGTGCGTGGTGTCGGCCTGTTCTTGGTGTAAATTCAGCCACCTCTGCTTGTGGGCATCGGTCCCACGACGCTGCTGTGAACTCACCAGGCTCGTTGTGTCCCGCCAGGACTCGGGGCTCTACCTGAAGGAGCTGATTGAGCCGGTGCTGACGTGCTTCAACGACGCTGATAGCCGGCTGCGGTACTACGCGTGCGAGGCCCTCTATAACATTGTCAAGGTGGCCAGGGGCTCTGTCCTCCCCCACTTCAACGTGCTCTTTGATGGCCTCAGCAAGGTAAGAGCCATCTCGTTCTTTGTCCGTGCAGTTCTAGAGCTCTGAGGCTGGCTCAATGATAGGAAACGCTGTTATCCATCTTCATCTCCGAGATGTGTTTTTCCTCCTTGTTTAGTGGGGCTAGGAAACTCGTCTGATAGAACTACTGTAACTCAGGTGTCTCTGCAGCACTACAGCTTTCTGGGCTGTGTAAGGTCAGGACCGTGTCTGCGTGTGGCTGCCTCTGCAGCCCCTTCCTAGAAACTTGTTTCTCAGTCAGCTGAGAATACAGCTGCTGGCACGTGAAAGCCTGCCAGGCCGGGGAAGGTGGTGAGCGCCTCATTCCCCATGAGGAAACCCCTCCAGGGAGCGTCCTGGAGGCTAATGAGGCGTTGCAGCTGAAGGGACTTCTCTCAGTTTCCCTCCCTGTAACGTCAAGCTAAAGCAGCAGTCCCTGGGCCTGCGAGGAGCTCAGCTCGGCTGTAGAGATGAACTCGCCCTGGGACCCACTCCTCTAATGACTCTTGTTTCTGCTCTTCGTAGCTGGCTGCTGATCCGGACCCAAACGTCAAAAGCGGCTCGGAGCTCCTGGATCGACTGCTCAAGGTACTTTTCCACCTATAGCTGAGCACCGTGGGACAGGCCGTGACGCTCTGCAGGGTCGGGCACTAGGGTGCGGACATGGACATGCAGCACCCACGTTCACCTGTGCCCTTCTTGACACATGTGTGTTGGCCACGTTTCTGAGACGTGCCTGAGGTTGCAGCTGCTAAGACCCTCCCAGCTTGGTCCTCTGGCTGCTCTCAGACCGTGTTTTTTTTCTCGCTGGCCATAGCCTCTCTAGCTTGAGTTTGATGGCTGAGAGAGTTTGGTGGCCATCTCAGGCAGATGGTTCGAGGGGTTTGCAATGCGATGTGTGCGTTTAG